ATTGATGAGTGCATCTAATATCTGTGTATTGAACCACTCATCATAAAAACTACCATGGAACACTTACAACAATCACCACAAGACGCAAAAACTGAGCAGTCACGGCCTACCGTTGGCTATACCACCTCTGATTTTCCGGTTGATGCTGTCAAACCCAGGACGAGGTTTAACCTATCAGACAAGCGTCCTGTAGACTTTCCAAGAAAAAAGAATGGGTCTCAGAGGCAACGAAATGGTCTAAGGCTAGAAGATGAAGCGAAGCTAGAGGGGGAACAGCCATCATCATGGCTTTGCTTTGCCCCTGACATGACGTCTAGTGGTGAGAGAACCGCCCCAGCAGCAGTAGCATCACAACAACAAAAAGCTGCCGAGAGATTTTCAAAACGTAATGTTAGAAGAGGAAAAGATTCTGCGTCAATTCCCCAGTCTAATTTGTTGTTCGATGACAATACTGCTGGTGATGACTACAATATTTCTGATGATGATGATATGTCAGGGATTGTATCTGCTCTTACTACCAAGACTCCTGTTGCCGGCAATCGGGGCAAGAAGCTGGATCTATTCCAACCGATCTATGACCGAATGGGGATATATTCGAAAAAGGACAAGGAGGGGCTCCGGGATGCCATTGCTGATCTTTTGTTCATTGTGCGATGATGATCATGATAATAATTCAATGAATGCCATCTGAGATAGTACGAAAATCAGGGGATGACCATGCCAACACCTTGACATGGCTTAATTTTTCGACTTTCAGTGCATTATTGATAACGAACATCTTCTTCAATTCTTGTCGCGATTCCGCAAAAGTGCGAGAGCACGATCGAGTGGCTGAAAAACAATAGACTGGCTCTGCCAAACTAGCATATAGAACAAATGTCTAGACAAGTACTATTCATTGAACGAACTGATTGATTCGCAAGATGCTGTGTACTCTAGGGATCCTTGACCCTATCAAGCGATACTCCATAGCTAACTCTTGATTTGGTGAGGGGAATACCAGCGGGCGGCATAGTATCAGCATGCCAAGAAGGAGGAACAATCAACTTCTGATTGCTCCAAAAGCAAATGTTATGATGATGATTCTAGACAGCTGTAAGGCTTTGAAAGCAAGGACCATGAATCATGATGAGAACCGCATGTGATCGTGGCAAATTGAATTTGAACTACCATTGCTAGACCCAAGAGTAAAACATAGATGGCAGTTGGTGTAAGTAATTCGATCCCGACGAAATCACAGAGCTTCCCGTAACGGCCGCCATAATTGGAAAAACAGAGCAATTATTGGTGCCACCTAAAACACACGTGCTTTCGACAAAGATTTTGCAAAAAAACGAAAGAATTTGGTGAGTCGAAACAGAAGTGTCACGCGTGGTCCATCATCGTCCAGAATCACATTCCAACAGATACCTGCCCAACACTTTGATTGACAAGTATCTCCATTCAGCTCAGCACAATAACCAGTAGTAGTCATGGACAAGCAAGAAGAGTTTCAAGACGAGCTTGCCTCACTCAATTTCAACGGTGAACGAGAAACGAAGCCTCTTCATCGCAAACCGAAGTTTTGGATTCCGGTTGGAATCATAATTATTGCAATCATAGTTACCATCGCTGTAACAGCCTCTGGTAGCTCTAGTAGCGTCGAATCGTCACCAGAGATTCTGCCTGGTTTGAGTGATGGGAGTAAGGATGGAAACTTCAATTCTGTTCCAGCCCAACCCACATCATCCTCCCAAAAGACGAACCCTCCTACGATGCCTCCAACCACCAGTCCTCCTACAGAGGCTCCTCCTGCAGCTGTTGCCTACGATCCCCCTTCAGCAGCAGAATGCCAAGCGATTGCCCAAGGTGAAAGTGTAGCTGGACAATCTGGTATGATTCAACACAGCTTTCAGGTTCCAATGGATGTTGTCTTGGCTGATTCAAGCAATATCATTGATGAGTCGGCAATTGTCCAACAGCTACAAGACAAGGTCCAAACGAGGCTTATGCCGGATATGGCCGGGTGTAACACCCGACGAAAGCTCCGAAGTGGATTGTCTACGATGGAACAGCACCATCCACATCGCCAACTGGATGATAATGCCTATGTTATTGCGAATGCAAAGTCACAAGTCGCGGCACAACTGATCGGTTGTCAAATGAGCAGTAGCTTGAACTGCATCCATGTTGTTGTGAGTTTGAATCTCCATTTGAAAGGAATTGAAACTACAGATGCTTTGATGAGATTGATCTCGGACACCTTTGCACCGCCGGAAGGAATGGTGAACAAGTTGGAGCTGAATGAACCCATTGTGGGGCTATGGATCAGCTCGGTGGCAACTTCGGCGCCAGTTGCTGCTCCGCCAACTCCACCAGCTCCAACGCCATTTCCTCCTGGACAAACGGCGCCTGGTGATGGGTTCACACCAATTCGATATGATCAAGATGATGATTTGTATGACGATTTGTATTATGATGATTTGTATGATGATGACGCTGATGATGACGCTGATGATGATTTGTATGATGACGACGCTGATGATGATGATGATGTGTATGATGATGACGCTGATGATGATGATACCCTTTAATCACAACCATGTTCGCAAGAAGTGTGAGACTCAGACTCGATGCCTGTCGTCGTAAACTAATTTCATAGTATCCTAAAAGCGCATAGGACTAGACAGTACGTTTTAAAAATATTTTATTTCTGTCATCTGCTAGTCACTCATCTACTACGGTAGTTACCTCTTCAAACTGGTATGACATCACTACGATACTACCCTGCCGTCAATTTTGAAATTGCTTCTCGAGTTTTTGGGATTTCGAACGACCATGTGAATAAACCATAAGTGAGATATTCTGTTTTGCCGAAAATTTATCTAGGCTTTCGACGAAAATACTATTTGGCAAGAGCCATCACTAGGAAGAAATTATCTGCGCGACCATCAGTACGTCACGTATTTTGGTGACATTACCCGACCCACAACTTCTTGTAATAATATTTTTAAAAGCTTATATCTGTTGCGTGTTTGAAGGTTGACGCATACAGCAACAGGAGCAAAGGCATTCACATCTATTGTGCTAGCCTCTCACATCACAATGCCTGCGACGGAAGACGAATCACAATCAGTCATAGACTCTGAAAGCTTTCACAACAAATATGAATCCGACATCATGATCATGCGTCAAAGATCCGAAAGGTTTCAGGACGAGCTTGCACAACAAACGAAAGATCCCCGGCCAGAAGAAAAGAAACCAATATACAGAAAGCGACTTTTTTGGATCGCCAATGGCATTCTAGTTATTGGGTGCATAATTGCCATTGCCATTGCTGTCGCCGCAATTTCCAGAGAATCCTCAGCAACAAATGAATCATTTGGTGGCGAAGCTGGGAATCCTAATGAGTCGCCCCTTGGAGATCCTTCTGGTATCAATTTGCGACCAAGTACTAGCCCTGTAGAAGAGACTCCTAGCTATCAACCCAGTGGGCCTACGAACCCTCCTTCCAAATCTCCTTTCTACGATCCCCCTTCCAAACAAGAATGTGAAGCAGTAGCCAAAGGAGAGACCTTGCCCCGAGAAGAAAACCTAATCCAGCACTCCTTCCAAATATCTATGGATTTAGCCTTGGCAAATGACACGAATCAACAGGCGGTGGTTGAAGAACTACAAGCTAAAATGCAAACTACACTTATGCCCATCATTATCGGATGTGACATGGCGGCTACGATCCGACGGAAGATTATGAGTGTGTCATTTCATAAAAGTGTGGAACATCATCGACAGCTCATTATGTCACCCTATGTTATTGCCAATGCTCGAGCTGCTGTGGAAATGGACTCTGCCGCTTGCACAACAAACGGTTCCTCCAATTGTATCCATGTGATGGTCAACCTTGATTTACATTTGAAAGGATTCGAGCAGTGTGACGAAATATCAAATTTTGTATCTTCAGTGTTTGGACCAGAAGAAGGAATCGTAGAGCTTTTGGGTCTGGGACAGTCCGTAGAGGGAATGGCAATGGAATTAGCGGGATCTGAATGTGTTTCTCCTCAAACTAGTTTGCCCGCGTTGAGACCGAGTACAAAACCCTCTGTGCCTCCAACCATTGTGGCGTCGGCCAATCCTACAACAGCACCGGCGACATGGCCGACAACGGCAGAGCCAACAAAAATTGAAACGTCGCCGCCCAGCACACTTCCCACCAAGACACCATCATCATATCCTTCTGCCATTCCGACCATTACAGCTTCATCGAACCCAACGGCCGCTCCTGTCACGTGGCCAACAACAGAGGAGCCAACACGGTTTCCAACGCTGGCACCGAGCAAAGTTCCTTCCAAGGTCCCTACTAAAGCCCCTACAAACGTGCCAACATTGAAGCCTTCAATTTCCCCGACTCCTATTCCAACCATAATGGTATCAGTAAACCCAACCTCGGCTCCTGTAGCATGGCCGACAACAGAGGAACCAACAAGGCTGCCGACACAAGTGCCTACAAAGGTTCCCACTACTTCACCATCGTCAAAGCCGACAATTGCACCCACTCGCAATCCAACCTCCATGCCTACAGTGACCCCGATTCCACAACCCACACGAGTCCCAACTGATCCGCCAACACCTGATCCAACAATATCTCCAACCCGTCCACCAACCCTAGTTCCAACGCTCCCACCTACTCCAGCAACAACTTTAGAGCCAACGGTAGCATCTCCGCCAACTCCGCCACCGACACCTAGCCCAACGGCACCTCCCACTCCTCCGCTGACTCTATCGCCAACAGCAGCACCGCCACCAACATTCCTGCCGACTCCTCCTCCCACTTCTCCTCCTACGCCACCGCCAACACGGCCTCCCACTCCTCCACCAACCTTGGTACTAGTTGATGATGATGACCAAGTAGGCGATGATGATGATCAAGTAGACGATGATGATGATGATCAAATAGGTGATGATGATGACCAAGTAGGCGATGATGATGATGATCAAGTAGGTGATGATGATGATCTAGGAGGTGACGATGAGGGTGATGATGACGATTTCTAGACTTGCTGGGAACCATCATCTTTTTCATTATAGAACAAATAATAACTTTACGCGTACAGCACCAGATCATTGGCAGCTTCTTCAAAAGCTTTCGCGTCAGTCTCGTCCTCTGCGCCTTCTGTGGTACAAGCGCACATTGGGACATACTCTTCCTTTCCGATTGTTTCTGGCACTATTTCGCCAATCATGGATTCAATTGCGGCGAAAAATGGAGTAAAGCTATTCGATGTCTCTTTGGATCGCCGGTCGGCTTCTTCCTGGTCCATCTTGTCAAAAATGTCAGAATTCTCGTCTTCAAAATCGTAGCTGTTATTTTCCCACACAACATCAGGGCCACTACAGTTCATCATGTTTTTCATTTTTGCCATCCTCTTTGCTTTTTTCGAGTGCTTCTTATTGTTCTTTCTTGGTATCCTATCGCTCAGAGAAACGTATTCGATATCCTCTTTTTCTTCTTTGGGGTCCAATCCATCGTCTTCTTCTTCATAAGCATCATCATCATCATCCTTTTCGCCTTCGCCAACGATGGAAGTAACAGTGTCTGGGTTGGCCTCACCGCTTGCTGGCATTGGTGATGGAACTTCTTTGCCTTTGGAAGTTGCTATTGGAACGTCCGCAGTCTTGGTAATGGTGGAAAATGTGTCTTGCATGAACTGACGGAGCCATGATCCTTGATGTTCGCTCCCTTCTTCTTCTTTCGCGATGTTGGGCATGTCTGTTGCAGCACTATTGTCATCTTCCACACCAGCAAAAATTGCAGCCAGTGCTATTCCTTTGCGATTGTTCCGTGGTGGGGTCCTCACGCTGGTAGAAACAGAGTCTGATGACGAACATGTCTCCTCTTTTTCATACACCAACGCTGATGACGATTGTTGTTGCAATTCATCCTCGGGTTGTTCCTCGTCCATTGCTCTCTCGTCGATTGGCACTTCGGGCTCATCGTAGTCGGCAGCACTGGCTACTGTCTCGGGGGTATGCGCCTTAAGTTTTGATGTTTGGATGGTAGTGCTGGGAGATTCTGGCGGACTTGTTGAAGGCGGTGGTGGTAGCATTGTTGTTGTTGTTGTTGTTCTTGTTGAACGACCACCAGACTCCTCCTCTTGACCCCTTAATTCCAACTTTGCCAACGATGCTTCATCTTGCTCGTGGTCGTTTTCAAAGCTAGTGTCCTTTATCTTTCTGGAGGATACTACTGCTATGGATGTAGCTGTTTTGGATACCATTGTATCACCGACAATATCCGTTTGTGGTTCCTTGAGATAAGAATGATGATGTGCTGCTTCTTGCAGATCGTTCGTCATGGGACCCAATTCAGATGATACTTCTTCTTCAAGATCCTCCGAGGTTCCATTCTTGGCTGCACCGTCATTCGAGTAGCGGCCTGCCTTGTGTTGTTGGTTCAAAGATCCCGAGGATGACAATTGACTTTTGATCCGACCAAGTCGGGCCCCCTTGCGTGAAGTTATCGCTTCAATGGAAGAAGAATCATCCAATAACCGAGTACTGTTGCTCTGCCGCCGAACCATTTCGGTATTAGCTACAATAGTATGGTATTGAAATGTGAGAAATGGAAAACCAAGAGAAGTCTTTTGAAAAGAGCAAGCCATCAACGGTAGGATCGAATCCCATGGATCCTCTAATCATCCGCACCCACCTCTCCAAACATCCAACTATGGTGTGGAGCTGTTTAGGCTTAGAATTTTGAGGGTCGTCAGGCTTTCCGTTGCCAATTGGTATTTAGGAGTCGGAACGATCGAAAATAGGGAGAAATTGGATATGGCATGTCGCAAGGGACTACCAAGCGGGTTTCAACAACCTGGGACTTGAAACAGGAATAATGACCGACAAAGGGAGGAGGGAGGATGGATTTCGGGGGCACCATCATTGCACGCCGGCTGGGCTGTTTTCAAAAGGTTTGAATGCCGACGATTTGAAATTTCTGCCCCCAATACGACATCTCTTCAAAAGCAGATACTGCATCAGGCGTCAGTTGCAAATCATTCAAATTCATCCCTTAACGCTACCAGCGCTACCAGCGCTACCAACACTACCAACACTACCAACACTGTCTACTTTACAATAACACCAAACAATATGGTACTTTCCGACAGTGCTTCCAACTACATACAAAGGTTGGACGAACAAGTTGCTGCAATGACAGAATCATCATCTGACAACAACAACAACAACAACAACAACAACAACAACAAGCGAAGTATTAATAGCAGTCTACGAAGAATGAAGATGCCTTCTGCACCCAGGGTGAAGGTGCCCAAGAAGTTGAAAGAAATGAAAATGCCTTCAGCACCAATGGTATACGTACCAAAGATGAAGAGTGCCGTCAAGAAGAACCTTAAGGACATCAAAATGCCATCGGCACCCAAGGTCAATGTACGAGTACCCAAAATGAACATCCCGTCTGCTTCTAGTAACAAAGAAGTGGTTTCTTCCTATCTAGCCAAACGCAAGGCCAAGAAAGACGAGAAGAAGAGAGCCAAAACATTGTTGCTCTTGCAAACGGAACGTCAAGATGAAAAGAAGCGGCTGCAACAAGAACGGCGCTTGCTCCAACGACAACACCAGCAACAGCAATCCTATCATCATCATGAGGTCCTCCTTCCTCGTCGCAAATTGCAATATCCTCCAGCCATTGAACGACAACATCAAGACGACATCTTTAACGAAATGGTTCCACTGCCACCACCACCAGTAGTGTCCGTGTCCTATACAACACTAACAACAACAAAAGAAGAAGATCATCCTGAAAAATGTCGAGAACAAGAACTGGGACTCCTGTGTCAAAAACACTACGCTGTATGTCAGGAACTCAAACAACAAGCTTTGATGCAACAGCAGCAGCAACGTCCAAAGATTGTCTGGCGCGAAGAGAGTGACGACGAAGCAACCACTTATGACGACCATGATGATGATGATGACATGGCAGAAATGAAGCAACAAGAAGAAGAAGACACCAAACATATCCATTGGCAAGATTTTGAAACGCAAGTCGTTCACACCACAATCTTGGTCCAGCCAGCATCTGTCAAAGACGTTGATCTGCAGCAACAACAAGATCCCAATGCAGAGATTCGTTCGGCTAACACATTTTTCCAAGAACATTTTGAAAACTTCGATATTTCCAAGACTTGCGAATCCACAATCATGGAATGTCAGCCCATTCTACAAAATTTGAACGATGCATTGGTCCAGCAGCAGCAACAACAACAACAGACGAACAATAACAACAAGACTACTTCGGAGAACAACGAGCCAGCAACATCACACCAAGAGAACAATGGTATCAGCAACATCTTGAACACTAGCGATATTGCGCTTCTCAATAGTAACATGTCTGTGGACACCATCAGTACTCTTGGTGTACAGCACGAACAATTCATATGTGGGATTGATCCCGACTTTGTCCAAAAGTCAATGGAACACGAGGAGGAGGAGAGGACTAGGATGCCATCACTACCAACATCAGTGACGCCAACACCAAACAAGAACAATAATAATGGCAATCAACAAAAGACTGTACGCTTTGCCAAATTGGCCACTACTGCTGGAACACCCGACACGGCTCCTCTACAAGACGACGACAATGATGAATCTCCCACTGGATCACGACGAAACAAGAAGAATGCTCGTCCTTCTCGATTTGACAATTTGATTGGTGACTTGAGTTGTGGCATGATTGACATTCTTTACACAGACTTTTCTTATCAGGAAGATAATAATGATGATGATGGAGACGAGGGAGTGGCACAACCACAAGAAAAAGAAGAATCATCATCATCAAGCAATCAACGAAAGCAACAACGAAAAGAGGGGAGGGTTGACTTGAACCATGCCGTCCGACAACTCTTGTTCATGTCCATGTAATAGGTATAGTATGCCTATGCACAAACTTTGTGGGAACGAACTATTCAGTCAAGACAATATTTTTAAAATAGGTTAGAGTTAACGTACCGTAATATTTATACCGTAATGTTTTCAAGCTGTACCTATTGTACGATAGCGACATGGGCTGGTACTACTCATGCCGTGCCTCGATTTTGTTCAAAGATGTAGTGTAGTGTGCATGGTCATGGTGATGACGTGCAAACAAGTAAGGCAAGCTTGGAATTCAAAATCACTAAAGTACTTGTACTTATAATAGTGTATCTTGAAACTAGTACTAACAGACGATGATTTCGAGCCCTATTGTTGATGGGAAGTCGTTGTTACATAGGAGGTTTCACACTATAGCCTATCGTTTTTTAATACTTTAGGTATACTCTTGGGTCTTGAGAGAAATACATTTGACTTCTTGCGCTCTAAAGTAGGAGCCAAATAAATGTGAGCATTTCGTATGAACTGTATCACCTCTACCGTCAACCGAGGTGCCGATCTGTATATATAGGTGACAAGAGGTGCGTATACTATAAAGTGATGGAAGGAACACACTACACGCCCGTTTGGGTATTCCATCGAAAAACAGTAGAAGGCAGAAACCAATTCATTGGGCGTTGAAAGGTAGCAGTCTAAGCCTTGTTTGCATTGGTTGGCTTTGGTTTGGTGGAGAAGCCAGTTAGTCAGTGGGTTGTGAATTGTGTTGAAAAAGGGCTGACGTCGACTCACGGAAGGAATGAATGAATCAACCAGCTACCTTTGGTCAGAAGAGGGTTGGTTGTTATTCTCTCCATCAATGTGAAAGAGATAGAGGTGAGGACATGGTGTGAGGACATAGTTCCAGCCTTTTCGCTTGCCATGAAAGCGTGGTTCTTGTTGGAACTCTTTCACTTCTCCAAGACCAACCAATCGATGTTCCTTGCATGGGCTTCTTGCAGCACCTTACAGTGCAAGCACCATGAATTGCTATAGTAGCTAGCAAAGAGACTATCTGGTACTAGATGAACCTTGTTTCCATGATTCAGTTGCCTGCATAATTGATCCTTCTCCAACGTTCTTTGGGCACTTCCACGATCCACAAAATGACGTGAATGGGTAATACGTTGTAGTTGTAGATCCTGTGACAAGAGGTGAAAGAAGAACACAAAGAGAACGAGAGTCTACTAATAGGGTAAACAAACTGTGTTTTTCAAAACTACCCGGTTACAAAATTACAAATAAGTTTGTGTTTGTTTTTTGCTCTTCAACGATCACATGAAAACAACGTTCACGTTGAAAATCATCCTGCTGCTTACTGCAGGTGAGTCAAGTATCGTCGGGAAGACTTGGAGGATGCAGAAGAAGCAGAAAGCTTGGATCCCTTGGAGGCAGATGGGGTCTTGGCCTTCTTGGCAGCCTTGGGTGCCTTTCCTGCGGCCATAACTGGGGCCATAACTGGGGTCATGACAGGAACCATAACTGGGACCATGACGGGGACGGCAACAGGAACGGCAACTGGGACAGCAGATCCAGAGGCAGCTGGGGCGACGCTTTGTCCGAAGGCAACAGCGAAAAGGGCAACGAAGATAAGAAGGGACTTGAACATCTTGAGATACAGTAGGTGGCTTGGCAAAAACTTAATTCCGGTACGTTTTGTGAAAGATCGGATGCTACTTTTTTCCCGTCACACCCAAATTCACCTCGCGCCTGCTAGCATCCAATCTTGTAAGTAGAATTTAAACAGATAGTTTTTGTCTAAGTAATTATGTTCCGTTGACGCGTTGGCCAGTCTTTCAATCTTTTTCAAACCGTTTTGCCGTTTCAAAATTCCCACCCCGCGTAGGTCGGACCGATTTCGCGCGCAGTGGATGACTTCCGACGCGTAGTTCACGTAGAAACGATACTAAGATGAAAATCGGGGGAATGTCCGTTGCCGATTGCCACAGCCTATGTCACGCACCGCTTACCCGACTCAACTCATTCTTGTGGGTAGTAACAGCTACTGAGTGAATCCGCAACGGCGAGAAAAGGCGGAAGCGGGATTTTTGGGTTCCTACTCCTCGGCTGACTCCGACTGATGTGATTCATTCGGGATGGATGGCGGACGGATTGGACGGAAGGAGAAGAATGGAGGACACGTTTTGACTGTTCAGAAGAGTAACCTCCTTGATCTAACCATGCGGTACGGACAAGCACTTGATCCAATTTAGCCAGAATAAGACACATACAATGCAAAGACAAAGTATGGCGACGCGACAATGCTAAAAAACATGAAAAAGCATACAGAAGGCACCCAAAAAAATGTGAATTGTTGACCATGGAATAGATATTCGTTCGGTGGTTGATGATTCATTCATGGCAATGAAAAATGTCTTTTACCGTTCTAGATACCATGGAAAAACCGGCTGTTCGAAGGCGTAAAGGTATTTAGACTGGCTGCCGCGTCCGTTTTTGAAAGAATAGCATTGCTCGCCAACCTTCACTTCGTCTCATCACCTTCTTCCTTTTTCTGTCTACAACGGCAAAATCTATCATTCACTCATTGTCAGATTAGTTCCACGGAATGGATACACTGCGCAGAATAAGACTGAAGATCACAGGAACTTTCGAACTGCGCCGACAGTAGAATCACTATCACACAATAATCCACCAGAATGAATCAAATCAATCAACAAGTCAAAAGTTTCCATGACTTGATGAGGTCGGTTCAATCTGCTCCTAATTGACCACTTGCAACTACCACGAAACAATATGCAAGTGGTTATTGTACGATTTATGAAGCGTTTTTGCATCAATCAAGATACAGTATTGGATGCACACCACCCAAAAGGTGAGAACCTTTCGAATTACTACAGTCAAGAGACACACGATCGGATCGATCGATGATCCTAATGATGCACGATCGATCCTAATAAATGCAGCTTGCAAGAGCACTACAAAGAGGCAAGGCACCATTTTGTGAGAAGCTTTTAATTATTATTCACCAACATCATTGGAGGATGCCTGTGCACAAGCTCTTCTTTACATACACGCAAGTGAGAATCGTTCGAATACACGATCGATACAATGCACGATCGATACTGTGTAGGATGCACGATCGAATACTGTACGCAACAAAACGTTGAAAGACAGGCAAACGATTATTGCAGTGCTGTCGCGGTAGATATACCTTAAAATAACAGAGTATAGAAGTCAATTAGTCAACAGAATTCATCCTCCATCAATTTATGTGAAAAAGATAAAAGAGTTGCCAAGTACTATAATACCACTACTGTACGATACTCCTCTCTTGTATCAATAGTACCATAAAAGCATTGATTTCAATAATGGTCTCTCTTATCTTATCCCGATCAACTATACCTTATAATGTAGCCGTTGTTTGTGTCGCGTAGCTTCGGGCATGCTTTTGGTCAGTAATAGTAACTACTATACATAACTACTAGTCTATCCACTTTGAACAAGACGAGTTTAATAGTGTACTGGCATTAACTCATTGGGTTTGTGTGCTACTGCTACTACTACTACTACTACTACTAAACTTCCATTCTATTACTGTAGAATTGCAACTAACTTCCATCATTCTACTACCATTATTGTAAATCCTATTCCGCAAGTCGTAGTAGTAGTAGGTAGTAGGATGGAGCCATGTTGGATCCATCACTTTTTCGTTCTCTTTGCCACAACCAACCCAGCATGGAAGGCACCACCAACACACACACCCACACAATCAGTCCATCATGTCATGTCATGTCATATCATATTAAAATGTTTTGCTTCCACAAGAATAACATGCAATGATCGATTCATTCGTTCCTTCCCCACTGTGAACTGCATGGTATAGCAGCAGCATGGTGTGCTGTACCAGTATAGTGCACTCTCAAACCATCCGTGATCAAAATCGGTATTCAAAGAAGCATTATTGGAGGAATGAATCCTGCCAGCATCGAAATGTACTATAGCTTCTATATATATATAGAAGCAGCAGCAGCAGCAGCAGCATTCCCACCCAGCAATGAAAAGACTCCATCCATCGTTGATATTCCAATCGTCAAAAGTGATTGGCTTTGTGGGGGGCGGAGAATGTTCCTTGACCAAACCATGATGCTTCGCAGAGTATTTGAGTTGAGTTGCATACTACGCAATATCGTTTGTAGTCATTTGACATTCGTAATAATGAACCATGCATCCTTCACACTTCTCAACTCATCGTGGTCAGTGCATTGACTTATTTCTCGAGTAAATGGTTGCATAGTCGTACAAATATATATAATGATGATTCATTCTGTGGAATGCTGCCAAGTCCTCTTGGTGATATTTTGAAAGGGAGTCCAGGATAGAAGAGTCCAGGGTACAGTCGAGTCGTCGTCTCACATAGTAAAAAGGAGGAAGGAGAGATCTATGATGGCAATCAAATCATCATCATCATCACCATCTAATCAAAGAGGAGTTACGAAGAGAAGAGATGACTTGACAATCAACAAAGAATCGTGTGGGCTTACACATCATTGTCTTGCTTGAGCTTTCAATGCCATCATTCCAATGCATTGTATACTGTAGGGTACCATAAGCATGATACAACTCAACCAAAACCATACTGTAATATATTCACACTATACTATACGCTTCACAGTAGGCCTAGAACGAACCATGACCGGTTTTCCTTCTTCCTTGTTCATCCTGATCATTCTTCATCTATGCAAAAGTGATTCGAATGAATGAACGAATGAATGAATGCACAGAAATGAAAACGAGAAAGAAAATACTCCATCACCAACACGTCCCTTATTCTTTTCCAATCGTTGAAAGTGAAGGGTGAAGGTTTTTTTGGATATCATCTTTTAGTGTTTGGTATTTATTGCCATTCATTTCAACGACCAGCTTTCCATGGAATTGAAGACCAACACTGTGGTCTATAGCTCTTGTTCATTCTTTCGGATGTGCATTTTATGCAATGATAATAGAATCATGGCATGTGGTCGTTTGCCCGCATTGTGCTTTTCTTTTGTTCATCATCTTACATAATCTCGATATGGCATTCTGAACTTTTGGTAAAAACGCCTATACAAGTACCTACAATTTCATTTTCATCGTTTTTTTTTTCATCATCATCATCGTTTGTTGATGAATGCATTCATTCGCAAAAGGAGAGATGACTTAAAATTTCTTCTAACAAACCAACACTTTGGAATGTCACCACAAGAAGATCAATCAAACGATAGCAGTCTTGTCGCCATCAAAAGTTTTCATTCATGGGTCAGAATTATTATTATTATTATTATATTCGCAGACGAAAGCAATATAACAAAGCATCGTTCCATGATTTCCGTCCTGAAATTACACTACAAAGCTACCGGTAGTACTCGTACCTGGTACTTTAGATGGATAGTATCATCATACGTGTACGTGTCACATGTAGTGAAATAGCAAGAGCAAGAGCAACAGCACTAGTAACAGCAAGCGGTGGCAAAATATCGGCGACCCTCCACACAAGGAAGTGAGTGATCTAATGATTGACGATCCATTCATTCATTCATTCATTCTTTCATTTTCATTCAATCGTACAGTAGTAGTAGTAGTAGTAGTAGTAGTAGTAGTAGTACATGGAACGTATGATTTATTCCATTCTCTCCCATTATATTATTCTCCCATCTGATTCCAAGGAATATTTATAAATGTTCTTGCCAATAATATTTTAAAGCCAGACGAGTATCCCTGCACAATAATTGTAGGAGATCAATAGTAAATATAGTGATGATTCTAATCAACCGTACCGTACCGGTATTGACAGGCATATACGGTAGTGTCAATAATAAGCATACCATCCATATCGGCAAACGGTGTACCTGTAGTAGGTTATGTGATGGATTTCGATATGTCTGACGCTACAGTATTATATTGATGATTGTATCAATAAAAATGCAATATACGACATTCATTATTGCCAAGGGTCTGACTTGTTGTTGTTGGATGAATGACTGAATGAATGAATGAATGACTGATTGATTGAATGAATGAAGGTTTATTATTATATTATTATATGAATATGCATGCATACCGTACGATGATCGATCCGATATCCTCATCACCGTTTCGATATGGTTCATGATGATCATCGTCCTCATCCAATCTCAGAGAGTCTTGGTAGAGTTCGTTCTATACTCCATTCGACTTATCGCATATACTCACTCTTGAATTGCCGCGTCGTTATTATTCAAATATTTTTGCAATCATGTATTTATAAAACGTTGCATCATCAATATAATGACTCGATATCTTTCTTGTTCTTGTTCTTATTCTTGTTGTTGTTGTAGTACTGTAGAACGGCAGCACTCGACTGAGCGCTCGTGAGTACTTGTACATCCAATCGCATTCAGTTAGATTCATTCTTGAATATATGATGGATGAATCATCATCGTTACGATTTTTTTATATCATCGTTGTTTTAATCCTCTAGAAACCATGCAAGAAGAATGAATGAAAGCATTCCAGGTCAGTTCCATTTTTTGTTTGTTTGTTTGAAAAGCCATTACGACAATAGCGACCAGACAAGAAAATAATCCAACCAACCTTTTTCTTTCTTGTTCATCTTCTTCCCCAACAACAACATCTTTTTATTGACCGGCACAATATGTCAACAATGTTGAGTTCCTTTCGCATATACCGGTATACACACATAACGGCATCCTTTTCTTCATAATCATCATATGACATATGATTGTTGATACCAACATACCAACTAGTAAAATGCAGATGAGACGATGCGGAACCACCACCCCCAAAAATGGCATATGATCGATCGATCAATCCCAACATCATATTGACACTCATTATTATTTCTTCTGGAAAAAATGACAATGACAATGACAATGACGACCGACGACCGACGAGTATAATATACACTCGAGCTGTATATTCCAGCATATATGTCATCGCATCGATATTCGTCGGTCGTTCTCAGAAAGAAGCTACACAAGTACTACGAACCAATGTTTTTTATGATGTCGCCAAATTTGTGGCAGCCCTTCATCCACAATCCCATGGTACCTTTCGCGAGGAATGACTGTTGGAATCATGAACCGTCTTGAACGGATATTATTTGAAATCTCATTGCCTTTTTTTTTGTGGAACCATATTGCAATAAAAAATGATAATGATAATGATATCTACCGGTATACGATATATATAGTAACTTTCAATAAGGAACGCATCACGCATCGCACTTATTTTTTTCTGTGGTTTGTTCATCAAATAAACTTGTTGAGATCAATCATCAAACAAACAAACAAACAAACAACTCATGACGTTCCTATCACCATCCTTCAAGAAGGGACTATTATTGAAACCATTCAAGAAGAGGGGACAATTCAAGAAGAATCACTTCAAGGAAGATTTGGAATCATCCATCAATAAGGATCTTTCTTCTTCGTCGTCGTCGTCGTCGTCGTCTTTGTCTATCGGAACGATTGAAAAAGATCATGATGATGATTCTAGTCTCGAGGATCCTGGCAACGACGAAGTTGTTCTTGATACAGAACAACAACTACAACAAAAACAACAAAAACAACAAGCAGAAGCCGAAGTACAACCAAATGTGGAATACTCTTCCGTCTTGGTGGAAAACCACCATTTGGACGATCAACCCGTCGAAACCGAATTGGTCTTGACCACGACTACTACCTACACTCATTCCAATGATCTTGACGAAGAGCAACTATTCCGCATGCAACTACAGTCACAAGAAGACGAAGAGGAGGAAGAAGAAGAAGGTTCCAGCATTGCCCAATATTATACTTCTGTCCAATGTCCTTCCTTGGACGTCACCTCTGATGATACCGAAGTCATTCTCAATACCAACAATGTTTCACGATTCCTTGCCCGATGCACTTCTGTCCAATCTTCCACTTCTTTTTCTTCTTCTTCTTCTTCTTCATTGGACGAGGTCAACACTACAGAAGTCATTCTCAATACCCAAGATGTCTCACGCTGTACTTCCGTCTTGATTGAAGAGGAAGGACACAATCATCACAACAATTACAAGCCCTCCGGAACCGAAATGGTACTCACGAAAGCACGAATGATGGTGATGATGATAGAGGGTACTACTCCTACTACTCCTACTACTCCTACTCCTACTAGTATTCAAGAAGAAGACCACCAAGACAAACAAAAAGAAGAAGAAGCAAGCATGCCTGAAGTGATTCCGCCCTCGGAAGATGACTTTATTGTGGTCCTTTCCGATCATCATCATCATCATCCTCATCATCATTATCATCAGCAGCATGACCACAACAACAACTACAACAATAAGGAGGAGGAAGAAGAAGAAATCAAGAATGTCCAAGAAGAACCTACTACTATTAACAATACTCCACAAGACACGACCACGACCGCCATCATTGTTGACCATGACGATGATGATGATGATGATAATGATGATGACAATGTGTCAGTCTCGTTGCTTTCCTTTTGCAACCACCACATGGCCAAGAAGCACCAAACGGAACAAGAAGAAGAAGAAAAAGCATCATCGTTCATGGGACAAGAATCTACTACTACTACTACTGTTCCACAAGACATTATTGATCATGAGGATAATGTGTCCGTCTCGTTACTGTCCTATCATATGAATGCCAACTACAAGAATCATCCTGTTCCCCTACAAGAAGATGAAGAAGAAAAAGAAGCCGACAATGTATCCGTATCTCTATTGTCCTTTCTTCAGAACAATGACTACAGTGACAATACTAATAATGATACGGTCCATCATCGTCATCATCATCATCATCATGAGGAACAAAAGAATGTTCACCGGGGACGCACAATCGTCCACAACAACAACAACAACAACAACAACAACAACAACAAGTCGTTTGCCACTCGCTTTTATGGGCAGAGGAGCGCCAGTACTACTACTACTACTACTACTAATGCTACGAATCCTTGGAGAGGAGAAAGCAAGGAAGAAGAAGAAGAAGAAGAGCAGTACCATGATAATCATTATGATCATCATGACTATGATTACGATTCCACACGACCAGTATTTGATACCATCACCCAACGGGCACATTCGGAACAAGAAGCCAGTGCAATGGCCTATGACCAAACGCCAAGCATCTTGTCCTTTACCACCTTTCAAAATGACTTGTGGATCAAAATGATTCATTATGGTGGTGGTGGTGGTGGTGGAAGAACTGCAGGAGGAGGGAGCAATCATCCTTCGGAAGAAAGAACCGAGGAACAAAAAGACAACGACGATTCCAGCAGTGTCGATGCGACTCAAACACTTGGACAAACGACGATTGGTTCTGAATCGACTGGTATCACTACTACCACGGTTCATCGTGCAGGTGCAGAAGCAGTAAATCCCTTTACTCTCTTGTGCACTGCCTTGGAAGATGAGGTTGCTCACAGCAGTCAAGAATTGCAATCCATGTTGACCCAAGCTTTGGATGATTCTGATTATTCTCCCTCGTCGTTATTGGCTCAATTGGTGACCAATAATAACAATTGGTTGCAACAAAAGGCATTGAGGGCTGGCATTCCCAAGAACGACTTTGAACGAATCATGGCGGACTTGTTGTTTCTATGAACATTAACTTGTTGATTGATGGAACGAACGAATGATAGTGGTAAGCATGTTCTTGGCAGGCTGCTGGAATTTTAAAAAAATGTGTGAGTGTGTGGTGTTTTTTACATTTGTCGCTCAATCTTTGATTCTTGTTGTTCCAAGAAGAATGAGAAGCAGGTCCTATTCCTTCCTTCCTTCCTTCCTGCCCGCCAAACACCATCATTGAGAATACAGTACACATACAAAACATTACCATTCCATGGTTTCATTCATAAAATAGATTAGGGACAATTGATTATTGTTTAGTCCTATATACATTTGCATTGTACAGACTTATAATTATACGGTATCCTATTGTTGCCTACCGGCATCAGTATCGGTTCTCAATATGATATACTGTATGCGTTGAGTTTTGATTATCCAACGAATGGTCATGCCCCCTCCCACGACGGGTGACTGGTAATTCCCGCTATACCGACCGGCCAGCGCGATTTTTTGAACTTGCTGCGAATTGTTTGGAAGTAGGAAATCTACGTAGCTGACTCATTCTGACGTTTGGGGGTTCTGAAAGAGTGGGTGTTTTTGAAAATAACTCTTACGAGTATAATATTCGTATCATCGACAAATCATCAATTTTGAGAAGACGAGAAGGAATCTAAGACACAACTGCAATTGCTATTGCAAGACTATACTGTACTGTGCCTGTCTTTCACACCCTTTTGTTTCAATTAATTACATTGCGTTACATTACATTATTATACATTTTGCATTGAGAATGAAGATGAGAACAAGAACCTCAAGCACTAGCACAAGCACAAGCACAAGCACACAACAATGGCAATGGCAATGGCAATGGAAATGGCTTTTGATTCTTCTGTGGCAGTCTTCCAACTTATCCCAAGCGTTGACTCCATTGGAAGCCAAGAGCATGTCTGCCAAAGTCGTCATTAGCAGCGGGGTGGAATTCCAATCCTCGGTCCCGCCCATTCCCGGTGTCTTGCCCGCCGCAGAGGTTCCAGATGTATCTTCGGTTCTGGCCACGCTGACATCCTTTCCACGAGAATCCTTTCATCAAAAGGTCCAAAACGTCGACGTGACGGGCAATCCGCAACCCGAAGCGGTCACGAGAGACGAATTCAACAATTTGCAATTGTATTGGACCAAGCCAAACACTCCCATTTGTAGTTTCCAATTGCAAGCGACGGTCAATTGCAATTCCAACATTTTGCCCATTCATCAAAAGATTCCATTTCCCATTTCCGAGGATATTTTGCCGCCCGACATTGTCAATGATTTTCTCAAGATTACCGAAATTGCCAATCAAAATGCCCAAATTCAACAAATTGCGCATTCCATTACGAATGCCGCTAGTCAAGGAGACATGGACAATTCCGATTTGTATCACGTGGTCTTTGCCATTGCCGATTGGGTCCAAACCAACATCAAGTATGACAAGAATGCCATGAAGACGACGAAGAAGAAGAACCCCTCCAAGGCGATTGGTATTTGCAAATCGGCCACGGAAACCTTGCGCACAGGAGTGGGCAAATGCGACGAACTGTCCGCGCTCTTTGTCAGTTTGAATCGGGCCTTGGGAATTCCGGCACGATTCGTCACGGGATATGCCTACACGAACATTCCCATTGGCAACAGCGAAGAAGAAAATTGGGGAGGACATGCCTGGGCCGAAGTTTACTTTCCAGGAATTGGATGGGTACCCTTTGATGTGGCCTATGGAGAATATGGATATCTCAGTGCGGGGCATGTCATGCTGTCCACTTCGGACGATGCAGCCGACAACACCAACGTCCATTATCATGCCCAAGGATTTGATTTTACCATTACCCCCCGGATTATTGATATTTCCGTGACTCCGGACGAACTAATAACACAAGGAGCGGAAGATTGGGGAGACTTGCAAAAAACATCTTCCGCCCAAGACGTTCAAGTCTCACTCGAGGCGCCACCCCAAGAAGCACCACATGCTGGAATTGGAGAAGTCATTCGACTCTTGTGCACCTTGACCAATCCGCATGATTATTATGTCTGTACTAGACTCGATATTGCCAATACACAAGATACTACCTTGTTGGACGAACTATCCGATCATGTCTTGTTGAATCCCAAACAAACCAAACAAATTCCATTGGCCTTTCAAGTGGACCCTAATCTTCAAAAGGGTTATGCCTACGAATTCCCATTTTCCGTTGCTTCTGGAGCCCAAGAGGCACGAACCACGATCATGGTCAAGGATCAAGCCGATTCTAGACAAAAACAGATTCAAGGAATGAAGATGCAATGGGAGAATCCGGCACGAAGACCTTATTATGACAATAATAATAATAATGATCCACGGGGTCCGCAACAACAGCCACCGTATAATGGTGGATACTACGATGGACGGGATAGTGGAAGTACTGGAAATACGGCTGGCGATTGGTGGGGCGAAGCTGGTGGAAAGAGCATGTTCATGAGCAACCAACCAAGACAACCAACTCCAGAAGATTGGAAACGAGCCGAACAAGGAGGAGGAGGAGGAAGTTATCGTGGTGGTGTTGGCGGACCACAGCAGCAGCAAGGCAATATTCCAGGATATCCAGGACCAGGAGGAGCAAACATTGATCCGAGAGTAGTAGGAGGACTAGGAGGAGGACGAGGATACCAACCAAATGACCGAGGAGGATTTGGTCCACCACCACCACCTGAATATGATATGTATCAACCGTCCAATCAATGGAATCCAAATCAAGCCATGAATCGAGGCCCCTCCAATAATAGTTTTGGTGGACCAGGAAGCCGAGGTCCGGCCACGAATAGTTTTGGCACAAATAGTTTTGGAGTACAACCGCCACCACCACCAATGAATAACAATCTAGGAGGACCAGGCCTAGGAGGGGTCAACAGCTTCCAGCAACAACAGCAGCAGCAGCCACCAATGAATCCCCGTCCAACCACCGCACCGTCCAATTCGCGAGATGCCGATTGGTTTGAAAAGGCAGGCGAAACAATCTATGATAGTAGCAATGGATGGTGGAACAAGGAAAAAAGAGAAGGAAACAAGGTGGTTCGTGATTATGAAAAGACCTATGTTGATAATACCAACAAGCAACCACCACTACAACAACAGGGGGATACCACTTGGTCCATGGGCCCAAAAGGAAGAGTGGATGACACCAGAGGAGCAGGTCGAGTTGGAGGAGGCTATGCTGATAGCAGTGGTGGTGCCACTCGTGGTCCATCTTCCTATGGCACGGCACGAGGATACGACAATCCCACTCCTGGCATCCAGAATCCACAACGATTTGAAAATCCCAATCGATACGACAATAATGTGTACAAGGGACAGCCGCCGCAACAACCCGGTCAATATGGTGGTGGTGGTGGGGGTGGTCCTCCCAATATGCAACAAGGATATTCCAGCTACGGTGGTGGTCAAGCTCCAGCAGATGGAGGAGCATGGAGAGGCGATGACAATGCCCGAAAGAATTTTTCCAATGAATGGCAGCGCAATGATTTATTGGGTCGGAGTCGAGAAAAGTACCTACAAGGGCAAATGGGGAATCAACAACCTCCACCTCCACCAGGTTTTGGTGGTGGTGGTGGACCATATGATCCATATGGTCCACCACCGCCTCCTGGAATGATGGGGGATCCCTACTATCCACAAGGACAAGGAGATTATCGAAATGATCCTCGCATGATGGGAGGCCAGCAACAACAACAACAGCAGCAGCAGGGACGACAAAACTACGACGGGCGGGGCAATCCAAGCGCTGGTAGTAGCTATTATGGGAATGCGGACAGTCAGACATGGTGGGACGACAAATAAAGAACCGCAACAACCACAAGGTACAAGGTATTAGGTATTAGGTCGTGTCCAATCGTGTCCAATACGATCAACAAGCTACATACTACTACTACTACTACTACCACCCTTTCCAGCATGTGCTGATATGATGTGATGATGAGCGACCGAGGTGATGTAGAATAATATTATATATATAATGTAATCAATCCATTTTGTGAAACTTCGGCTTCTATTTTTGGATTAATTGATGATTGATTTGTTACTACCTATGGCGTTGCAGCTGGGACAGTGTATGTTGTAAACAACAGTATGTTTCAATTCAGATCTTAGTTCTTCTGTTGAAAAATGTTACAGAAGGCTCGGACAGCATAAACAAACCCGGTTGTGCGCCACATCCAGATCGTCATTGACATGCAATTTGACAGCTTGTGCCACGCTCGAGGCGAAGTTCGAACAAGCTTCGCACAAACTTCGCCTCTTTACGGTGAAAATGTACTAGAGGTTGCCGTACGAATGACAGGAAGATACGCTTCAAAGAGCGAGGATACCTTCAACGGGCAAATCCTACCCTCTGTTCTCACAATTTGTCAAATACAAAGAGTATCAAGTCAAACATGAAGACCGCCGTCCTTGCCACCCTTATCGCTGCAGCCTCTGCCTTCGCCCCTGTCCAACAGGGAGCCAAGACCACCTCCTTGAACGCTTTCGAGGATGCTCTTGGTGCCCAACCACCACTTGGATTCTTCGATCCTCTTGGACTTGTTGAGGATGGTGACCAAGAGAAGTTCGACCGTCTTCGTTACGTCGAGATCAAGCACGGACGTATCTGTATGCTTGGTGTTGTCGGATACTTGGTCACCGCTGCCGGTATCCGTCTTCCAGGAGATATTGACTACTCTGGAACCTCGTTCGCCAGCATCGCTTCCGGATGGGAGGGAACCACCCAGGTCCCTGTTGCCGGAGCCCTTCAAGTGTTCGCCTTCGTTGGCTTCCTTGAGTTGGCCGTCATGAAGGACATCACCGGAGGAGAATTCCCAGGTGACTTCCGTAACGACGCCCTTGACTTCGGCTGGGACTCTTTCGATGAAGAGACCAAGCTTCAAAAGCGTGCTGTTGAGCTGAACCAAGGCCGTGCCGCCATGATGGGTCTTTTGGCTCTTATGGTCCATGACAAGCTCGGAAACGTGAGCGACTTCTTCCCCAACTAAGAGTTTTGTCTTAGCTGATTGCATGAAGATGTAATTTCTGATTTTGACTGACTCGTCTGAATAGATGCTACTGCTGCTGAGTAAATCCTTTGTACCATACTAATATAAAGTCGATTAATCTTGGCAAAAAAGCTTCATAGTACTGTCTTTTTAAGAGTTGTATTCAGTGACTTCATGGTTTAATAGGTGAGATGGTGTTTGAATGCGGTGATTGCCTGCCTGATAAAACATCAAGAATCTCCTAATTTTCAGGGGCCACATGAGAATAATCTCCTAAACTTACCTGAGACGTTGCCTAAACTCTGATACAAAAGATTCACTCGATTTACTTCCCTCAATTTTTCTGTCCACTTTCATACGTATCGATATGGTAGGAGGTGAATTGGTTGATACTTCCTTTGCGGTTGATAACTCCTCTCCATCATTGCTCCTTCATTGGTCGATACTTCCTTTAGGTACTTCCTTTTCTCTCCCATCTCCGACTCGTTTGACTTCTTTATCCCAAGCTTTGCAGATCGCTTGTTGGTACATTTTCTACGAGAAACCTACGGCAAAGATACGCGAAGATACACTTCAAAGACGATCTGTGATGTTCTTTCGCCTGCAAGATCGGGTGCTGAGCTGGGCCTTCGAAAACAACCATACTTTCCCATACCTCGATCACCATGAAGACCGCCGTCCTTGCCTCCCTTATCGCCGCCGCTTCGGCTTTCGCCCCTGCTCAACAAGGAGCCACCAAGACCTCCTTGAACAGCTTCGAGAACGCCCTTGGAGCCCAAGATCCTCTTGGATTCTTCGATCCTCTTGGCCTTGTCGCTGACGCCGACCAAGAAAAGTTCGACCGTCTTCGTTATGTTGAGATCAAGCACGGACGTATCTGTATGCTTGGAGTGCTTGGATACTTGACCAGTAAGTAGAAAACAGTCATCGTCAGTATTGATGGATTCATTCATTTCAGTGAAGCAATCAATGAACGAACCACTTTGCTAACATGACTCTTTTTCATTATGGCTGCAGCTGCCTCTGGTGTCCGTCTTCCAGGAACCATCGACTACGCCGGAACCAAGTTCTCTGACATCGCCACTGGATGGGAGGGAACCACCCAAGTTCCTGTTTCTGGAGCCCTCCAAATTTTCGCCTTTGTTGGCTTGTTGGAGTTGGCCGTCATGAAGGACGTCGTTGGAGGAGAATTCCCAGGTGACTTCCGCAACAACTACATCGATTTCGGATGGGACTCTTTCGATGCCGAGACCAAGCTTCAAAAGCGTGCCATCGAATTGAACAATGGCCGTGCTGCCATGATGGGTCTTTTGGGACTTATGATCCACGACAAGCTCGGAAACGTCAGCGAATTGTTCCCAGGAAACTAAGTTGATTTCTTTCAGCATGTCACTTCTTGAGCTGCTGACAGCTCGAATCAAATAGCTAAGATAGACATTTCATGTTCATCGAATACCTGTCTTTTATTAATTCATCTATATTCTATGATAGGTTGTGAGCACGAAGGAATCTCGAATGACGACCTGAAGAGTTATCCCGAGAATGATCTCGATTGGGTCTCAATCTCTGTTGCTCTCTGTCTTTTCTAAATACTGAAGCCACTAAAATGCCTACGGGTTATAGATGCATTGATACTGAAAGGGAACTGCCGAGAAGGCAACATAACTAAACTTATAACCCACAGATTCAAACATCTGAATATGTAGCTCGCAAAGTGGTCCATCACCTGAAGCAAAACATTACAGGCATACAGTATGGGGCTGAGACACAAAGGCATATGCTCCAACCGCACTGTCTTGGCTGTTTTCTCTCTCCAAGACAGATTCAGAATTCAACCCTTTCCATCTATTTGCGCTTGACGCGCCACTGGTGGTTCACCGATTCAGACGTCGCCTGAAGACTGATTATAGACTTTGTTCCAGACCCCAACGACGAATGCATAGTTCACCGACTCAGAAGTTACATAAAAATCAATGAAAGAACAATTTCCAGAGCTAAGGATTTTTAGTATTAAGAATCTACGCAGCTAGCATCTATCATCTATTCAGACGAGTCAGTCAGTCAAAATCAGAAATTACATCTTCATGCAATCAGCTAAGACAAGACTCTTAGTTGGGGAAGAAGTCGCTCACGTTTCCGAGCTTGTCATGGACCATAAGAGCCAAAAGACCCATCATGGCGGCACGGCCTTGGTTCAGCTCAACAGCACGCTTTTGAAGCTTGGTCTCTTCATCGAAAGAGTCCCAGCCGAAGTCAAGGGCGTCGTTACGGAAGTCACCTGGGAATTCTCCTCCGGTGATGTCCTTCATGACGGCCAACTCAAGGAAGCCAACGAAGGCGAACACTTGAAGGGCTCCGGCAACAGGGACCTGGGTGGTTCCCTCCCATCCGGAAGCGATGCTGGCGAACGAGGTTCCAGAGTAGTCAATATCTCCTGGAAGACGGATACCGGCAGCGGTGACCAAGTATCCGACAACACCAAGCATACAGATACGTCCGTGCTTGATCTCGACGTAACGAAGACGGTCGAACTTCTCTTGGTCACCATCCTCAACAAGTCCAAGAGGATCGAAGAATCCAAGTGGTGGTTGGGCACCAAGAGCATCCTCGAATGCGTTCAAGGAGGTGGTCTTGGCTCCCTGTTGGACAGGGGCGAAGGCAGAGGCTGCAGCGATAAGGGTGGCAAGGACGGCGGTCTTCATGTTTGACTTGATATTCTTTGTATTTGACAAATTGTGAGTGTTGGAGTGGACGACGTGAACTTTCCCGCACTTTGAACTTGCGAATTTCTCAACAGCTGCTCCTTTTTGAAGCATATCTTGCGATCTTGTCCACGTCAAGTCTCAGTACAAACTCAACGGTAAAAATATCTTTGACGCGTCCGATTAAAAAGCCGAACAAAATGAAAACCACATCATTGATCGACACCAAAATTCGCTTCAGAAGTACCGGTATCTTCAAGACCATTAGAGACAGAAGGCTTGTTCTGTACTGGTACCAGATACCAATCGCAATCAGTGAAGAAGATACTCTCAACAAGAGGTATAAACTAATCACACGATACGCAGAAACTTCAGAGATGGAACTTACAAATGGCTTAGGATGAAAGCAATCAAGATATACAGAGGGAGATAGTCCTACGCGACGAAAGCTGATCACAGGGGAATGGACTGTAGTGAACACCAACAAGACAAGGGTTCGTCAGAAACTACCGCCGCTGGAATGCCTTCGATGGACATGGCATAGTGACCATGTCCTCATGACTTCTTCCGCCGAAAATGAGCGTGATGGTGGAATGTGGTATAGTTTAAGGTGCTCATGCCATATCATCTGATACTTCTTGTTAGTCCTGACATTGGTTTATCTCGCCACAAAATTCAAGGTTTACGAGCGATGGACAATGACTGAACTATACTTGATCTACTGCAGGCGACCTCAAATTTAAGGAAACCCAGATTTCTGATTCTACCTCCAAGCTGCTTTCCTAGCTGATGCCTAGAAACGAGCTTGGCGATCACAATTTAGGAGCCTACTATAAATCAGGAGACGGCAGATACATTCTGGCAACAAGACGTGGGGAAATGCTGATTCATATGGAATGTAACATCAGAGCTCTAGACCGCTACATTATAAAAGGAACGCAATCCCACTGGAATGTACGAATGTCATTTCATCGACGACACGATCAAAGGTTGAACACTGACAATCGTCGCAGTATCGCAGAGACTTTGTAGGAATCACTAAAAATAGATAACAATAAGATTCTTCTATAGCTGAGCTCTTCATCTCTCATGCAATCAAGTAATTTCGCCCTGGCAGAAGCGACATCATGTAATTCTGCCTCATCACAAGTGAAACCTAAGGGTTCTTTTACGAGACCCCGCCACCTCACTACAACAAAGAAATAAAAAATATTTGACGATGCATACCGGTAGAAGCATTCAGAATGTATGTGAAGATCAATCAACTTTATTATTACAAAAGGATTTACACTCAACTACACAGTAGGTTCCCTTCAGAAGAGAAGGAGAAGGAGTCAAATACAACAATCGCATCTTCATGCAATCAGCTAAGACAAGACTCTTAGTTGGGGAAGAAGTCGCTCACGTTTCCGAGCTTGTCATGGACCATAAGAGCCAAAAGACCCATCATGGCGGCACGGCCTTGGTTCAGCTCAACAGCACGCTTTTGAAGCTTGGTCTCTTCATCGAAAGAGTCCCAGCCGAAGTCAAGGGCGTCGTTACGGAAGTCACCTGGGAATTCTCCTCCGGTGATGTCCTTCATGACGGCCAACTCAAGGAAGCCAACGAAGGCGAACACTTGAAGGGCTCCGGCAACAGGGACCTGGGTGGTTCCCTCCCATCCGGAAGCGATGCTGGCGAACGAGGTTCCAGAGTAGTCAATATCTCCTGGAAGACGGATACCGGCAGCGGTGACCAAGTATCCGACAACACCAAGCATACAGATACGTCCGTGCTTGATCTCGACGTAACGAAGACGGTCGAACTTCTCTTGGTCACCATCCTCAACAAGTCCAAGAGGATCGAAGAATCCAAGTGGTGGTTGGGCACCAAGAGCATCCTCGAATGCGTTCAAGGAGGTGGTCTTGGCTCCCTGTTGGACAGGGGCGAAGGCAGAGGCTGCAGCGATAAGGGTGGCAAGGACGGCGGTCTTCATGTTTGACTTGATATTCTTTGTATTTGACAAATTGTGAGTGTTGGAGTGGACGACGTGAACTTTCCCGCACTTTGAACTTGCGAATTTCTCAACAGCTGCTCCTTTTTGAAGCATATCTTGCGATCTTGTCCACGTCAAGTCTCAGTACAAACTCAACGGTAAAAATATCTTTGACGCGTCCGATTAAAAAGCCGAACAAAATGAAAACCACATCATTGATCGACACCAAAATTCGCTTCAGAAGTACCGGTATCTTCAAGACCATTAGAGACAGAAGGCTTGTTCTGTACTGGTACCAGATACCAATCGCAATCAGTGAAGAAGATACTCTCAACAAGAGGTATAAACTAATCACACGATACGCAGAAACTTCAGAGATGGAACTTACAAATGGCTTAGGATGAAAGCAATCAAGATATACAGAGGGAGATAGTCCTACGCGACGAAAGCTGATCACAGGGGAATGGACTGTAGTGAACACCAACAAGACAAGGGTTCGTCAGAAACTACCGCCGCTGGAATGCCTTCGATGGACATGGCATAGTGACCATGTCCTCATGACTTCTTCCGCCGAAAATGAGCGTGATGGTGGAATGTGGTATAGTTTAAGGTGCTCATGCCATATCATCTGATACTTCTTGTTAGTCCTGACATTGGTTTATCTCGCCACAAAATTCAAGGTTTACGAGCGATGGACAATGACTGAACTATACTTGATCTACTGCAGGCGACCTCAAATTTAAGGAAACCCAGATTTCTGATTCTACCTCCAAGCTGCTTTCCTAGCTGATGCCTAGAAACGAGCTTGGCGATCACAATTTAGGAGCCTACTATAAATCAGGAGACGGCAGATACATTCTGGCAACAAGACGTGGGGAAATGCTGATTCATATGGAATGTAACATCAGAGCTCTAGACCGCTACATTATAAAAGGAACGCAATCCCACTGGAATGTACGAATGTCATTTCATCGACGACACGATCAAAGGTTGAACACTGACAATCGTCGCAGTATCGCAGAGACTTTGTAGGAATCACTAAAAATAGATAACAATAAGATTCTTCTATAGCTGAGCTCTTCATCTCTCATGCAATCAAGTAATTTCGCCCTGGCAGAAGCGACATCATGTAATTCTGCCTCATCACAAGTGAAACCTAAGGGTTCTTTTACGAGACCCCGCCACCTCACTACAACAAAGAAATAAAAAATATTTGACGATGCATACCGGTAGAAGCATTCAGAATGTATGTGAAGATCAATCAACTTTATTATTACAAAAGGATTTACACTCAACTACACAGTAGGTTCCCTTCAGAAGAGAAGGAGAAGGAGTCAAATACAACAATCGCATCTTCATGCAATCAGCTAAGACAAGACTCTTAGTTGGGGAAGAAGTCGCTCACGTTTCCGAGCTTGTCATGGACCATAAGAGCCAAAAGACCCATCATGGCGGCACGGCCTTGGTTCAGCTCAAC